TCTAATCACCCTAAATTGTAAAGATCTGATATTAATAAAGGCAAAGTTGAACCTCTGAAAAACTTTTCAGAGCACCTCTCCACCCCAGTCAGAGTTGCAGGTTTAAGAAATTTAAGAGGAAAAACTCAAACACATACCAGAGAAAACCAATTGATGGAAAATGTGATGGTGCCAAAATTGTGAAAGTATTTTAGAATATCAGATCCTCTTTTCCATGTCATGTAGTTTGATATAATTTTTCCCTAAAGCTTCATTTTCTGAAAATTTATTATATGCTCCAGAACAATCTTATCTTCAAAAGAAATCCCACATCTTCTGTTATTTCAAAGAGCCATACTTGCACCTGGGCAAGATGATGTAAGTGCTCTAGGTACCGGCTGACTGAAAAGGAGACCCACAAAATCTCCCTCTCTGTTTTTAATCCCAGGGTTTTACAAGAATATGAGGAGTGTCCTTTGACAAGCAGAGAGGCATTTCAGCATTTAAAGTAAAAAAAAAAATAATAATTAATGGTCCAGCAGTGTGAACAGACTTGGTGATTGCATTCCCTCACTTTGATTCCTGCTCCAAAATACTGCATCACAAGAATACAACAGGTGGGAAAGTTAAATGTTCCTGCACCATTTCCTTCTAAAAAGCACCCAGTCTTGGGTCCCCTGTACTCCAAATCTGGATGAAATCTGCACAGTTGAGAAATGGCAGCAAGAGACTTATTCCCCTTTTCCTTACTCTGCTCCTTCCCTACCACTGAAAGACACATGGATGGATTATGTGGCTTCTAAATCTACAGGGAAACAATAATAATAATAATAATAATAATAATAATAATAATAATAACAATAATAACAATAATAACAATAATAACAATAATAGTGGAAAACTGAAATCCTACCAAGTCACAGTTGTAACACAGGAATAACTTTTAGTGAGATGTATCTGGCCAAAACAGAGATCACAAATAGGCAAATATGTAAATAGGAGAATATGTGACGTGGTACAGAGGTAAGATTGTGCCACTGCATCTGACTGCATCACCTGCTTTGTAACAGCACATACACATCTCCAGACAATAATGAATAAATGTGTAAGATTCTTTCCTATTCCTTTTAACTTGTAAAACTGAAGACTTAAATATTTGAATTTCTTCCATGAGCCTTCAGAAAGGCTGAACTTTGATGTTTTTAAAGAGGAAAGATTATTCACTTTTGCTGCAGGCAAGAAATTATAATTTCTTTACTGATTCTGCCAAATGGTTCTATCACGCATTTTTTATTTTCATCAAAACAAGCCACTTTAAATTAAGATTGTCCCATAACTACACAGTAATCAACATTTTGAGGGGCAGATCAATTTGATAACTCTCTGCCTCATTTCTCTGCCCAGAAGATTCCTTCAAACCCAACTGAAGCATAGAGGAAGAGTTTTATTCCCTTTTCTCATGCTTGGCAGTTGCTAGGAAGAGTATCAGCTGCAGTTCTGTTTTATTTTGTTCATGCAACCAGAACAGAAAACTCAGTGTTATCCACATGACTCAAACTAAATAAGCTAAATTCAAAGCCAGTGGTTAATAGAATGAAGTCAACAAAGCTTACATAAGGAGCAGCAAAACCTGCAGGTGATAGAAAAGGAAAAAAGTAAGGAGGAAGACTAGGGAGCAGGAAGTTTTTTAAAAGCAAAATAAACATGCAAAAGGAGGCAGGAAAAATCCCCTGCACCGGCACAATATGCAAAATACATGTTTTTATAGCAACAAGCAGGATGATTGGAAATGGGGAGCCAAGCACTGCCCTCCTGTGTTAACAAAGCATTTGTAAAGGTTCAGCTCTTCAGTATTCTGGTACCCGGGCAGCTTCCAGTTTAAATTACACTGAAGCCCACAAATGCAGACAAAATCCAGACCATCATCAATCTGGAGACAATGGGCAATGCTGACAGCACAGCTTCCCATTAATCTTCATCTGTCCTATCACATCCTGTCATTCTTATGCAAATAGCATATTTGAGGATACATCTTTTCTGCACCCCAAGATAAGGAGAAGTGAAGCTGTCAGGAGCACCAGGATGTCATCCTGTACCACGGGGCCATCCCTTCACTCAGCACCTCGTGTTTTACATCACAGCTAAAGTGTTTTGACATTCAAATTTGACCCAGCAGGAGGGAAAACCATCCGATGCAGCAACGTGCATATTGCTTCCTGTGCTGAAACACTCACCGAGGTCCCTGGGGATCTGACAGTCTCCCTTTCTTGCCTGTGTACCCTTGCTAAGGGAGTTTGAAATGCTGCTTAAGAGGGGAAAAAAAAAGATTTGCATAGGTAGGTAATGATACCAATTCCCAATTCGCCCTTCTCACACTAGAACTAAGCCCAGCACTAGAGGACCAGGAAAATAGTTCCACTGACAAAAGGAAAAAAAGGGCACACAAATGAGTCGGTCTAGGTTTTCTTCCATGGAAATCTGTCTCACCACACCTGAAAACTTGTTCACATGTATGTCCAGACAGAATGTTTCATTTCAAGCTGAGCAATTTATACACAGGGTTCAAAAAATTTTATGTGGGGATGAGTGATCTCTCATTAGGACAACTGATGCATAGGAAAATACAAACAGGCTTTGAATCATAAGCAGCTCCATAAAGTAACTGCTTCATATTTTAGGCATGAAAAATCACTCCCGAGTGGGTAAGTCACCAAAACCAAAGGCAGTTTTTCCAGTTATTGCTCATCAATTCTGCTTATAGAATGAAGAAGAAAAGTTAAGATTTTACTATTATTACTGACTCAGAGTGTTTTGTTTCTGTATCACTTTCAAAGAATGTTCAGAACATCTTGTTCCAGAGTATTTCCCTTCCAAGAGAAATCACTTTCTGTACCATACATGGCTGAAAACAGTACGTGCTGGGTTTGTATTCTTACAGAAAATAGAAACAATTCCAAAGTCTCCCCAGCATCACATGAATGAGATGCAAAGTAGCTGAGACACAAACACAAGACACAACTTTAAGATGCAATAATATTTCAATACAATCATGACATCTTAGAGAAATATGTTATTAACAGGCATCTGTGACAAGTCCAAACAAGTTTCCCATTACACATAACGTTGTATAAAGTCTGACTCAAATCTATTCAGTCTCCGAAAGCAACATGCTGTGGTGTTTCCAGGGACAGTGAAGTCTGCATAGGCTCAGGGGAATACCCTTACTTTTGATATCCCCACGTGCTGTTTACAAATTACAAGAGATTAATCATCACATCATTGTCAGTTAAGCAGAAGCCACATAAATTAAAATGCTGGATGGATTGTTACCAATTTTGCAGGCATAAAACACACATTCCTCAAACATTTCTTGCTTTGAAAAGCTGAAGAATATTGACAAAAAACTATTCCAGACATTTTCGCAGTCCTTGGAAATAGAAAACAGAAACTGCATTGCACTTTTATACCATATGCAAAAGTCATGCCTTAAAAAAATACCACTGTATGGTCACCATGCATACCTATAAAAAACAGGACACTCATTGTCATACATAACTATTTCCATATAAAATATTAATTTCACAAATTCTTACCTTCTCAAAGGGATCACCAATTACAGAGTAAACTAAAAGCCCCCACTAAAAGATTTCCCACTACTGAAGTACAAATGCTTTCTGGTGTCATCTTTCTTCCAGGGAAGGGAAAAAGTACAACTCATGCACTGCAAATATTGCATGGACCTAGGAGAAGATAGTGGCCTGGTACACCCTGTCTGGTCTGGATAACAAAACTGTTGTTCATTTTTGTTCATTTTTAAGTTTTTTTTTTTTTCATTTTTAAAAGTTCACCACTCCCATAAAATTCGTATGTATAGAAGACATGAGAGATACACAAGACATTTTTATGCATCATATCAAAATGAAACCTTTCATTCCCAGGCTAAGAGGTCTGGGTTTGCATCTGGAGTGATGTAGGTACAGTACACAGGAACTTAGCTTCTATCCTAAAGTCCCCTCTAGTGCAGGGTGTCACTCTTAACTTGTGGTATTTCTGTTCCAGTGTTGCCAGTATTTAAAATAAAACCTCAAATATGAGAAAACAGCGTTCACTGTGTGCCCAGGAGAAATCCAGCAAAAGGGAGAATGACAGATAACTCAGCTCCCAGGTGGTGATGGAGACAACACAGCAGAACATTGAACTGACTCCAAAGGCAATTTCCCTGCTATTCAACAATCAGAATGTTTTCAAATTCAGCTTAGTCTTACTGACTTAGAACAGTCACCAAAAAAACCCAAAATCAATTTGACAAAAGTGAAATCTTGGAAGTTTCAATCTTGCACAGGCACACTTTTCACTATTGAGTTTTATTATCTTTTACTGAAAACTCTTTGCTGGCTCTGCTTTGCCATGGTAGGCTCAGAGATAAATGCACAAATAAGCTCTGAGGAAGCTAAATGGTTTTAAAGTGACTTTTCTAGAGGGCTGCTGGGTTGGGTTTGTTGCTTGGAGGTTTTCTGCAGGAAGTGTTACAGATTTTACAAACTTTAAATGTTCTTGTCACACCAGCAGAGCTGCCATGGGATTTGAGGAGAAATTTCCCTGTTTACAGTTGGAAACTGAATTGCTGAGACACTTAATCCTTGAAAGGAAGTAACTAATGAAACCAACAAACTCCAGCGAACTCCTGCATAAACAAACACAACAGAAGCAAAAACCACAGCAGCAGTTTGACAGAAATGTTGCTACACAAGTTCAATGAGCTTGACTTACGGAAAGCTTCTCCTAGGAAACAGATATTTAAGGCTACCCTAAAGCATTTTTTTTTCTGTTAAAAATTCTGTAGAGAGGGGAAAAACAGTGAGGGACATGAACCATTCCTCTACCTTGTCTTAATTTCCAAACTTCTACTCTTCATCATTAAATTGATCAGAAAACAGTTCGAAGAGTAAAAGAGGGTGGGATTATACCAAAATTTGGTATTTTCAAGAGGAACAGGATACAGACAATGCATCTATTTGTACCTTGTCTATCATGTCCGGTCTGTTTGTAGCTGCCAGAATTGTCACGTCCTTCAGCTGTTCTATCCCATCCATTTCCGTCAGCAACTGAGCCAAGACACGGTCTGCTACATTCCCAGCACCTGAAGAGCTGATTTACAGAAATAAAAAAGAAAAAGTCACAGCATTATCTTTCCCTTCCTAGAAATAGGAGAAAGGAAAAGATGCACTATTCTTTCCAATTTACAGGGATGCACTTTTTTGCCTTAATTCTTCATAATATTTATTTTCGCCTTCAACCTCTGAAACAGCAAAAGTGATATGAAGTAAAACCAAATCAGATAATTTGAGTTCCATAAGTTTTCTTGGTATTCAGCAAAGCAACTGAGATTTTGGGGTTTTTTACTTACTGAACTGCTATGGAGGTTGTAAAGAACATAGCACAATGAGGGTATCTGGAATAAACTTTTTTAAGCAAACTGAATTCACACAGCTTCTCTACTAGTCAGACAAACTTTCATTTATAGCAGCATCCAAGTGAGAGCTTACACCACCCTATGCAGTATAAAAAATTAGGCAGTTATGTCTTTTGCAGAGTTGCTCCACATTTTTCTACTCTCTCCATCACATGAGAATAAATTGAGTGTTGACCAACTGCCTCATAATTTCACTGTCAGTCCTTTAACTCAGTTCGTTTTCCAGATACCAGGGAAAAAACCCAACACTGAAAAAACTGAGAACTCCAGCTTTGAAATCACCAATATATGAAAAACCTAAGCAGAGAAACAAAGCATTCCCTCTGCTGAGAAGGGGCATGGAAACTGAAGCAGGCTAGGGACAGCAGCTGGAGATTGCACCCAAAATGTGAGTTTTATACTCCTTTGCCCGAAACTGGGAATCCTGCTTGTGGCACACACCTAAAACTTGCTGTTTTCCATACAACCTTCCTCTGTGGATGGCAGGCACATACCTCCACCATCTTTCACTAATGGGGCTGCTGTCCCAGGGCTATTCCCTCCTCTGTTGCACAGGGGAAGGTTTCACTTCTCTACCCTTAAGTAGGCTCTTTTCAATACAGTTTGAAAAAACTGATCTCTCCCATTCCTCTGGATCCCTATAAACAAAGAAGATACTTGAAACAAGACCAAATCTATAGAGGACTAAGATAATTTTTTAATTTCAAATTTTTTGAAAGCCCTTTTCCAAAAGTTCTCTTTAATGTTTATACAGGTAAACAGGCCCCTACACACACAGAAGTGCAGTACGATCATCCTGATGTTTTCATTTTCCAAAAATAAAAATATTAAAGATACTAAAACGTAAGTGCTCCAAGTATTTCCATACAACAGAGAGTGCACAAATACACTTGTACAGTTATTACACACATATATATGCAGCACCCACCACCAGCCTACCTGCAACCACAGTGATGTCCCAGAGCCAAAGCAACAGTAATGGCTCCAAATAAATCCCCTAACTTTCCTATCCTACAACTGGTTCTGCAATTTTCCAGAGCAAAACAGTGAACTTATCACACCCAGTCTGGAAAACATCTTTAAGGAGCTATAATAAATGTTGGCTAAGAGAGTAAAATATTTAGGTTGCTAAGAAATATTAGAGAAGGGACTTGGGTTACCTGCTTGTCAGCTTTTGGGGTTTCTGCAGCCACACTGGAAATTCCCAAGCCATATTTGAGCATTTCTAACATACCCACGGGTCAGACTCTCAATGACTTATAGAGAGCTGAATGTGATAAAACACTTCAGGTATTAGACATGGATAGCAAATGCTTTTGGAGAGACACAGCTTAAAGGAAATTAAAATCAACTCTGTAACATTAGCTAGTCCCAGTAGGGATCCAGGCCTCCCATCTTGCATGAGTTTCAATTTTACTCCACTTTATACCCAACAGACTGAGCAGAAGAAAACACTAAGCAAAGGAAAAAATAATTATAAAACTGGGACAAAAATGTTAACGTTTTATGAGATGATCTAAAGCTGTAAGACTTTGGAGGAGATGCTAAACTTTTCTTTGTTTCCTTAAAAATAAATAAACAAATATTTAGTTTTAGAGAGAGGTGGCTAGAACGGATATTACATCTTTCCCCAATATAAACATTTCTCTTACAAGCTTCAGAATGAAAAACACCAAAACAAACCCAAACCCACAACACACTAAAGAAGCGTTTATTCTAAGGAAAATCCCCAAAGAGATTTGCACATTGCAAAGAATTCCATGCAATCAGGGCATCATCAGGAAACTGCAGTTAGGCAATCACTGACTGTAAATAACAATAACAAAACCAGTATCAATGAAGAAGTGACTGGGTCCTTTGACACCAGGGATTTCTAATGTCAGTGCTTTTATTTACATAGTTCAGTAAGCTATCACAAGCTGCACCATTTTAGCACAGCCTACAGTAAATTAGCTTTTGCCTGAACAGGGCACCCTATAAAAAGCCCAGGCAGGCAGATCTCTTCCCCAGCTGCTGGGAGCTGCCTCACAGCCATGGTGTGCTCTGAGAGCTCCAGCGCTGCCTGAGCCGTTAATTCCAGCGGTGAGACACAGGGACGCGATTTTCCATTTTCCCATGGTTTCCCAGCAAGGCTTCCAAATTAACACAGGCAACGTTCATTAAGGCAGCCCGGAGTTTTGACGCAAACACCAGCCAGAGAAACAAACCATGATCGACCCTCCAGTCCCAGGGAGGCAGTGCCAAAACCAACTTCCAGCCAAGGGGCTGCCTTGGCCCCCCGCCCCTGCCTCCACCTGACCTCCACACGTTGATGTCATCCTCACAACTGCCTGGAAATGGTCCTCCAAAGGCACGTCCTGGTACAAACTAATTTCCTGTCAACACGCTGCCTGCAAATCCAGGCAGCCAGAGCTAAGCCCCTCACATAATCCATGCAGGGCCATGTGTGTGCACGGCTGTGTGCACGCAGGAGCCGTGCCCCAGCCAGAAATACCTTTGAAATAAAAAACGTGTGAGCAAAGAGGAGCCTGCCTGAGAACTTCAGGCGACCGCTGCTGCTGCCCTAATGAAATTCATTAGGCTATGTGTTGGTTTAGTTTCTTGCCAAGCCCATTTTATTTACAATCCTTGATGAAGTTTTTAAATGTAGAGAAGTTATAGCATTTAGGGACAGAAATCCTCCTCTGTATGATATTCCAGCTAATACTGCAAGGGTCCCACCAGTCTCAGACAAAGCACATGTGCACTCCTACACAGGCACTCAGCTTGACCACCAGAGAAGATTCCTAAAGCCTGTCAGGTAAGACTATCCACAGTGAATATGAAAGACAAACCTGTTCTTTGTATTTTACTCTGGCCAAAGGCATTCCCAATACAAATTTTGGCAGAATACACCGGGTATCCTACAGTTTACCAAAGACTCGCAATTAATCTGAATTAATTCTGCCTTTATCTGATGGACCTGAGATCAGGAGCACCGGCTCCAAAATCAATATAAAAGGACAGGGCCCTCCACAGCTTTTATTTCTATCTCCTCTGGCCTTATCCAATGACTGTTCAAGCCAGCTGGATTCATGTATCAGCGGGCACTGAAATTTCCCCCTGGACACCTTAAACCACTCTCACACTTCTTCCAGGGGATATGAAAGCAACCACAGCCCAATCCTATCACTGCACCAAGGAGTACATACAGTTCACTAGCTTATACAGATCTTCAAGCCAAGAGTATTTTGTTTCCAGACATAACCAGATGTATGAAATCACATTTAAATCTGTTACCCTTCCTGCTGTAGGCATATTTTGGACAGCAACTTCTTGTTTTGTACATTTTTACTTATTTAATTTCCTTTCCTCCCCCCCACCCTTTTTCTAACAGATTTTTAAATATTTGAAAACTAAAAACAGTCTGAGAATGCAGTCACTGTGGTTTCACCCCACAATGAAATTTGGTAAGCATCACCACTGCGAGCTAAAGCAAACATAAATTTGCATCATCTGACCATCTACAGCACTTCTGAAAAAATACTCATTTCACTGCCTTTCCAACACCAGAAGTCATTTTCATTGAAAAATGTATTTAAGTCTCCACCACCACTTAAATCTCATAAAGGAGAACCAGTGACTGTCCATCCCACCACTGACTTCAATGGCACTGGAGCCTGTCAGAACACCTTGGTTTCAGAATCAGGACCTTAATTTAATTACACAGCTAAACTGTAGATGTGGAAATGCAGGAAATCTTCACACAATAACATTTTGAGAGCTGTTAACATCACAGCAACTGTGAGGCTGCAAAAGCAGGAGGAGGTCTGGGAGAACTCCTCCCCTGCACAGCTGACCCTACCTCAGGCAGAGCTGTGAGGTCAGAGGCAGAGCTCAGGAGAAGTATCCAGGATAAATTACTGCAGACGGATTAATCCCCACAGAGCTGAAATCTATAATGCAGGTTTTGTGACAAGGGAGTCCAGTCCACCTTCTCTTCCAAAACATCCTATCAGGCAAGATTTACATATGGATAAAAACTGGCTTTATTATTTTTACCCCCCCCCCCCAAAAAAAAGAATAGCAATCCTAATAAAAGTTTATAGCTTTTAAAAATACTTGTGGACATGATATCATCTCAAATAACCCTTTCACTGAAACCTCTGGAAATAATTTCATATCAAAACAAATGTAAAACTCATTGACATGACAAAATGCTCAGTATCAAAAAGATTTGAACAGGTTGAAATAGACCCTCCTGGCAGGACTCTCCACATCTCCCTGAACTACGGAGGTAAAAGGTTCATGAAATACAGAAGCGCCCTGCCAGCAGACTCCCACGCAAGAGCCGCCTCGCTCGCACAGCCTGAAGGATTTTTATTGAGTCTGACATTTGTGTCGGGGCTTTGCAGGGGGAACCTGTCAGCAAGGAGCACCTGCCAAGCCCGGCTTTTCCATCCGGCTGCCGCTATCCTAATTATCTGTCACGCTCTTTTATTGCCCTCCCTCATGAACTCGGGTGAAATATGGCTTTGGCAGGTTAAGGTTTTCCTCAGTGTTTGAAAAATAAAAAAATCTACTCCAACAGCATTAGCAGAAAGACAGTAACTGCAGGATGGTCACAGATATTAAATTTTGTGGAAAAATTCCATCACTGGGACATTTTGTCCAGCAGAATGGACACTGCCGTGCC